TAATATTTAAAATTTTATTAGAAAAATTTAAAATTTAAAAAAGTTTGCAAGCAAATTTGGCTGCAAAACAATTTAAGAGATACATACTATCTCCTCACATCCCACTTTCAATCCTTTACTATCTCAGCTATACCCTTATTCTCTTAATTCTACACTTAAAGGCCTTATATCTATATTTTTAATCCAATCTCTAGACCCATTTGAAATCTCATACTCTAATACTTCTCAACTTATTATTTGATTATTTTTTAAAATCTCTAACCAACTCTACAATTATATTTTGATCTCATACTGTATCAATTTCTCTAACTGGAAAAAATTCTGCCAAATCCCTTTCTATTCTAACTACGATATCCAACCCCAATCTTTTTCATAGCCAACCAATAGAAGAACTAAAATTAACTATACTTACAGTTGTCCTTGTGACTCTGCTGACCAATTATACTCTGAACTTAATATTTGTCCCTCTTTAGAAAAAGCTACTCTTAAATTTAATATTTGGTTTACTATATGGATCAAATACAGCACATCTATCAACTACATCCTAACAATTCAAACCTAGATGAGTCTTGACCACTCTAGTAGGTTTAGGTCACAGATAATTAGTTTGAGCTTTTAGTTTGAGCTTTTAGTCTGAGCTCTTATTCTTGAATATAATTTATATTTATTTGTCATTACACAAATTAAGTTTTTATATAGTTGATATGTAATTATTTATATAAATTAATCAATAAAGATATGAGCAAGGCCTTACTTTAATACCAAAAAAAAAAAAAAATTGAAATGAATATATTAATAAAATTAAAAATTCTAATATTTTTTTTTGGTCTTACCTATAGTCACTTAGTGATTACTTCTTGCCAAAAGGAGTATAGATTGGATTTATTTTATTGAATAAAGTAGATAATTAGAGCATACAATTAGTTGGTTTAATATCTTAATAAACTGAACTAAAAATACAACAAAGCAGAACACAATAGTAGAAACCAAAAAGACTTATGATGTTTTAAGACAAGTAACATATAACAAAAGTTTTTTATATCATTACTAGAAAGACTTATAATACTTTAAGACAAATAGATATATCAAAGAGTTCTTCTATTGCAATTAAACTAGAATGAAATTACTGGAATAAAATTATTTTACTTTTAAAAGCTTTCTATAATATTAAATCTAATAGCTTTTTTCCTGCTTGTATAAATTACTTGTTTTATGTATTATCAAAAATATTTTACTAATCTTTGAAAGTTGGTAAGTTGATAATAAAAGTATTATTTAGTTGCAAAAAATCAATATATGACCAAAGGCTGGGATTAGTCTCTTCCAAATAATTTAATAGAACTATCAAAATAAAACATAATTAGTGTAATAGATTAAAATGAAATATTGATTAATATAAAAATAAACAAACTGCCAAAAAATAAAATTTTTTGAGGTTCATTTTTTAGAGTTAGAGGTTAGAGTTAGAGGTTAGTTTTAGAGTAGAGTTTATAATAAACAAATATAAATAGGTTTTAGAAAAATAAATAGAAACCCTTGTTTCATTTTAACCTGATTTCATTATGATTCATAACAATTATTATGATGACTATATTGATTATCTGTAACTATTACAACATTCTTGATCATTTGCATAATTATCAAATATGTAACTATTGCTTATAGAAAAACATAATTTAAATTTTGTAATTAGTAGCTATGCAATTATATTCAAGCTATTTCGATATATATATACCAACTAATCGATTATAGTGGTTTACAAAAGAGTGTGACTCTGTGATTTCATAGAAAAATTTCAAAGATTTTAATAGAGATGTTAAATAGTTTGAAAAACTTAAGTTTCAAACTGCTTATTGTACTTATTAAGTTTGTAATTCAATTTTTATTTAAAACTTCAGTTCAAATTTAAATTAAAAAAAACGTGAGTTTTAAACTAGCTTATAGCTCTTAATTTGGCAAACAGCTTTTGTTTGATGTTTTTAAACTAATTTATTGTTTTTAATTTAACAATTAGTTCTCATTTAAAGTTTATGTTCTTAATTTGGCAAACAGTTTTTGTTCAAACAGTTTATTGTTCTTAATTTGGTAAATGGTTTTGTTCAAACAATTTATTGTTTTTTATTATGAAAATTTGGTTATTGTTCGAATCTTATATTAATCATATAATATAAATTTGAATATAAAAAATATGAAAGACAAAAGCCATTATATAGAAATAAATACGATTAAAATATTAAATTAATTTTTTTATTTAAAGAGAAATTTTTACTTTTGAATATTAAAATTTTGTATTATAGATAATACTAACAACAATACTAATATTATTGAAGAACAAGACTCTTTATATAATGAAATACAAGATTCTTTGCAAAAAGAATTAAATGTAGATTCTTTAACTTTAAAAGCATTATTTGATAATTCATTAAATAAAAACCTCATCTTTTATGTGAATATCTTAAACCAAGTGATAGCAAGATTTTCATTTGCTGTATACTATGTTTAGGACAATATCCTCAAATAAAATAACAAAAATTAACAGGAATTAGTACAATTAAAACACATTTTAGAAAATATCATGCAGATATTTATAATCAAATAGAGTTAGAACTTAAAAAAACTAAACAGTTCAACTTTATGGAATAAATAATAAAGCAAAAGTTAAACATATTACTTATCTACTTATAAAGTAGATTATTTGTAATTAATAGCTTTTTATAGTTGTTAAAAATCCTAGTTTTATTGAACTTATTGAAGAACTTGATGAACAGTATTGATTACTATCTCATCAAACTATATCTAATCAGATTGAGGCAATTTACAGTATCAAAATCAAAAATTATTATTAAAAAATTTTTTAAAAACAATAAAAAAATTAGCTATTACAACTGTTTCATAGACTGCTTGCAATAATAGTGATTATATGTCTATAATACTTCATTGGATTAATAATAATTGGAATATATAAAAATTGCTTCTCGATTTTGTCCCTGTTAAAGATGATCATACAGAATTAAATATTTTAAATGCTATCTTAGAAATTATTAGTTTTTATAAAATTAGAGAAAAAATAATTGCTACAACAACTAATAATATAGCAAATATAATTACTTTCGCTTCTTACTTATGACAAAGCCTTGATAAAAAATTTAATAATAATGGTTTTTAACATTGTCATTGTACTGCCCACACTTTAAACTTAATCATTGTGAAAGGGTTAAACCGCATTGATTTTTCTATTATAAAAGCAAAGTTATTTATATCTACTATATGCAATTCATAACTAATTTTTAGAGAATTAAAAGATATATTTAAAATGAAAAATAGGAAGTTTCTTGTACCTGATTTAGACGTTTCAACTTGTTGGAATAGCACATTTCTAATAATTGAAAAATTAAGAAAAATTAAAGAAATGACTGATATTCTTGTTGCATTAAATAATTCATTAAAACCAAATTACCCAACTAAATCAGAATAGTCAAAAATCGAAATATGTTTTATTTATTTATTTGTTTATTATTATTATTATTTTTAATTTTTTTTTTTTATATACGATTATAGAAAATCTATAATTTTCTTAACCCTATTTACCAAGCAACTTTAATGCTTTCATCATCAAGTCATCTAACCTTAGGAGATCTTCATTTAATATTCGTAATAATTAATAGATCTTTTGATAAAATTCAATTAAAGAAACTACAACAAAGCTTGTCACAATGGCTATGGCAATTAAATTTGATGAGTATTAACAAAAATTGAATCAATCATCCTTTATGATTGCTCCACTCGATCCCAATGTTAAGCTTTTATTATATGACACAGAAAAACAACATAAGGTTCAAGAATATATGGAAAACCTTTATTCAAAATTCAATACCTCTAATACTAGTTTATACAATTAACTTCACATGATTATTTCAAGAAGGCTCTTAAGTATTTATTTGCTTCTCCTGGTAGCAAGTGAATTATGAAACTATTTTAAGTCAGCAGAAGTTAATTGTAAAGTATTATTATAGTAGAAAGCTCATGCAAATAATCAAAATTACAAAAATATTGCCAAAATAGCACAAGACTACCTGTGTATACAGGCTACTAGTGTACCAAGTGAGCAGGTATTCTCAGTTGCCAAACATACTATAAACTTCTTACGTAATTGTTTAGATCCAGAAAAAGCATAAGAACTCTCTGCCTTAAAAGTTGGTATAAATCTGGTGTAATTAAAAGAATAAAGTTTTTTTTTAAAAAAATTAGTTTAGTTTAGTGTTAGACTTAGTTTAGCAGTAGTGTTTTTTTAAAGGTTGGATATTTGTGAATTGTAAAAATCTTAAATTTCTGCCTTAAAAAAAAATCTATAAAAAAGTTCAATATACTGTAGATCTAAATCTATCAAAATTGATTAAAAACTGAGTTTAGAACTAAGTTTGAAACTTACGTTTGACCTTCACGTGATATTTTTGGAACTTGAGTGTGACTTTCACATGATATTTTTGAACTCATTTTCGAACTGTTTCTTAACTCGAACTTTTATGAAACAGGACCGAACAGGACCGAACTGAACTTTTAACATCCCTAGATTTTAATTCCCTATTGACATAAATTTTCAATCAATAATGTCTATATTTTATTCGAATCTTTAAAATTCTCTAAGGATTGAAAAATCTACTAGAATCAGCGATTTTACATGACATTATAATCTATAGAGGTCACACCTTTTTGCAAACTGTCATAATTGAATAATCGATTAGTTGGCTATAATCGACTTCTAATCAATTTATAAAAAAATTTTTTGGCCAACTAATCGATTGCATTTTTTGGTTTGATTTGTAACAATACACCACAACCTGGTACGCATTTTCGAGTTGCATTTCATAATTTACAAATAATTGGGGTTTCAAAGTTAAAACGCGGAAATCTAATTTTAATTGAAATTGATGACATATTTATTTTAAAATAAATGATCCGGCAATCTGATCTTATCTTCAATTTGAACGAAAGTTTTACTTTTTATTTATTTCTTTTTTTTTACGAAGTATTACAAAATTTTCCGATTTCATGAATTGGGGATCTCAAACACTCCTATTTCATTAAAATCTTGAAAACAAATAAGATTTTTCAAACTCTCATTTAATTTCAAAATGCGCCACTTATTTCTTAACTTTGAAACCCCTAATATATTGATATGTCGATTAATAATTGATATAAATTGAAAAATGACGCGGAAACGCAGCCAAAATGCACATAAAGTTTAAGGCATCGTAGAAGAATAATAGCCTGGCTCAATTAATATCAATTAATCTTAACATTAATAAATCACACGAGTCAAAATAATACATAAGCGATGCAATTGACGGTTGACCCACAGGTTCAACCCACGGGTTGATCAACGGGTTTAACTCGTCACTTCTTACCCGGGTTGACATAACTGCAACCCGATACACGACCCACCTGCGGGTGACCCAGGTGACGCCTATTCGGGTCCAACCACTACACCAGAAAAACTGTTTTCTCTGTAGTAGATAAATGTAAAAGTTGGGAGTTCTATCATAAGGTTCCTTTTATAGTACTTAATAACAAAAGAAGACTATGATTACGTAAAATTAAAAATTCTAGTCGAATTCTTTGAAGAAATGAGAAACCTTCGGACTATTTTATAAAAAAAAAGACCCATGTGAGGATCATGTTACAATTACGAAAACTGGACGAATCATTGAGGAGCTCTTTTTTAATTTGGGAGTTCCATATCATATTATCACAAATATATTAGTACTTAATGTTTTTATGATTTTTAGAGGCGATGAAACATCGGAATCAAGTGCTGAACGGGTTCGGACAAGAATAAAACATCGGGTGATAAGGAAAAAATGATAAGGATGTTAAAGGATATATGAACGGTTAGAAAGACAACACGGTTGCAAACATCCATTCTGAATAAAAAAGCGGTTCATTAAATTAAACTTATTTGCAATACAACCAATTGGTAAGCACGTTTTTTTATGCGCACATTGATACAGACAGACTTGGGACATGGTGTCTTTTATCGTTTAAAAAGATTTGCAACTTTATCAATTTTGTATTCTCGATCCCATGCTGAAAAAACGGAATCCTTCATAATGACCATTTAAATTTAGGGTATATATCTTGTATATTAATGTTTGACATTTGCTAACCAATTATGTGACATATAGCAAGCTATTACTAAATCTTATTCAATTATCACTAATAATTATGAACGTACTAGAATTTTACCAAAGTTTATTACTCCAAGTACATCACCACATGACTAAATTTATTAACTTGATTTCACTAATGATAGGTAGTTAGTATTATTTCACAATTCGAAGGTAACATTAACTTTCTATATTTCCGATTTTTTCAATAAAAATAAAAGTGTCATGTGATTTTATTAAATATATATAATAAAATAAATTCATAGATATAGTTGATATCGAATTCAAAGAAATATTCGTATTCTTTATTTAAAATGCCAATTTTTACAGACCAGAATAATGATAAGTACGCGTATTATAAGAAATATTAGTTTTAAAAGTTTGGCAATAAATCTCAAAATATGTTAATTAACAAAAAAATTCTTTTCTAATAATATACACTAAATCGCATTTTAAAAAGAATCGTAGCGCACCCCAAGATGCACACTAAATTTTATAAGCTTTGTTAATATAATAGCTGTTATAGCTTCAATTCATAAAATAGAAAACAAGACGTTGATAAGAACTGTGTGAAATTTTTCATTCAAAAGAACTTATATTGGAATAAATATAAGATATGGGCTGCGCCACAAACCTGGCACACATTCAAGAATTGCGATATAGTTACTAGACCTCTTAACGCTAAATCTGATAACCCTTTTAAAATTTGTCTACTATGCACATCGGTTTTGACAGAGTATACTACTGTATTATATGTATGTGTGTGTAAGAAGTTAGGATTAGAGTTAAAAATGCCAAGCATTAACGTTAATTGAACTACCATTTTAGTAAACGCGATCGGATTTACTACAACACCTGACAGATTTTATTTGTATATATATACAGAACATCTGAAACTCCATGTCATCGTCTTTAAACATGAATTTCCCAACGCAGCGGTACAATCTTGCGCTTAGTTGTATATTCAACTATTTAAGTCGCCGAGACCTTTGTGCTTGTTCGCTTGTAAGCAAAAATTGGTGTCAAAATGTCAAGACAACCATTTGGAACAAGCCGGATTTTATTACTGAAGGAACTACGTCTCTAAAAGCATTTCAACAATTTCTTAAAGTTATAGAGACAATTGCAAGTGAACAAACTAGGTCTTTAATTCAAATTATTGATATTAGTCAGATTCAAGAGTCACTATACGAAACTATTGATGAAAGTTGGTTGGCAATAGTTATGCAACGGTGTCCTAAACTACGTTCTCTTATCATTCGAGACGCTTCTTTCCTTACAACAACGTCGATTCGTAAGCTCTGCTCTAGTCTTAAACAACCTCACGTATTTCTTGAATATCTTGATCTTTCAAATTCAAAAAATATTACAGAGATAACGCTAAAATCCTTAATTCAAAACTTTCCGGAACTTGTTCAAATTACTCTTGACAATTGCTCCGGTGTTTCCGACAGTTCTATTTCTCAAATTATTTATTATTGCCACGAACTTCACACCATCAATATAGCAAATTCAAGGTCTTGCGTTACCGACACTTCTATATTTGCCATCGCGAAATTTGGAAAACAAAAATTAAGATGTGTGAATTTCCAATCACTACAAAAGATCAGCGACAATTCAATTATTGCATTATCAAATTATTGCAAAAATTTGGTCTCAATAAATTTAAGTAATTGTTCTTTAATTACTTGTAAGGCTTTAGAAAGTCTTTTAACTGCTAATAAGAACACTTTGGAAGAATTTATCATTCATAATATGAAATCAATTCCGATTCTTGAAAGTTCTTTTATTGAGCTACTCAATAGATGTCTTAAATTAACGACACTCTCCATTAGTCTTGGTTACATAATTCCCAAATTATTTGTTAATCACTCTTCTTTTGGATCTTCATCAAAATCTCCACCACTATACACACCTAAATCTTCTGGTAACGACGCCCAATTAATACTTGATCTGTTTGAACAATTCCAAAATTTACAAGTATTATCGCTTCACAATGTACCGGAGCATACATCAACCGAATTTTTGTGGAATTTGTTTGAATTATGCGGAAGGTGTGGTAACTGCTCGTTAAAAGATGTTAAAATTTATAGAACGAGTTATGAAAGTGATTTTATTCTGGGTGGATATGCAAAAGTCCAGCAAAATAGTGAAATAAATCAAGAATCTGTTAGTAATTTTAATAAAAATCATCCGAATGGTCCAAATATTAAGTTATTGCTGTTAGAAGAATGAACCTTTTTATGTTTGATGAAAGGGGGGTTTTTTTTTGATGGTTTGTGGTATATATGGTTTTATATATTTTCCTTATTCATCACTTCTTTTTATGTACTACACATAACGTTGTATATATATAACTTCATTTTTAATGTATTTTACAATTCTATTATTGTATTTTTTTTTCCTTTTATCTGTTATATGAAATTAATTAAAGACAATTATAACATTTAAGGTGACAAATAAAGCTCCAGCTTATAAAATGCCGTCGTTTGATGGTATTTAAATGCTAAACTACAGATTGCCTTATGAGCGATTCTTGTTTTAAGGTTTATAGTTTTTTTTCTTATCCTATAAAAATAAAATACTACGCGATGTATATTACGATTTTATAATTTATTTACGCAATTTTATTACACGCTCATCTATACGACTAACTACTGACTCGATAACCTGTTAAGTGCAGCAATATAAATTTGATGATCTCTAATACTAGTACGTACGTACCAGAATACTAACCATACATATCATATATCATCCATTTTTTGATTAGATCAAAAAAAAAAAAAAAAAATTTTTTTGTGCGACTCATTTTATTTTTCTCGAGTAATCTTGTCTTTGATCTTTAATGATGCATTATATTCTTTTACTATTACTATGCAACGCATGTAATCTTGCAGTCTGCATGATCCCAATAATTAATTATCTTGCGCAATTATGCACGTATTTAACGTTAATTGGTCAGATATAATAATATTGATGGTTGGGATGACGTAGAGTAATTATTCGAGTATTACTGTACTTGTGTAAATCTTGTGATCCTGCCTTTTACACGTGCTTATTTGATACTTTTTTTTTTTTATGGTCAATTACAACTTTTATTCTTTTTTAGACTTTTTTTTTTTCGGCGACCACTATGTCCTCGCTAGTTTCTCCCGATATTGTTTCTCAACTGAACCAAGTATTATCAAACTTGGCTTCCAATGATAATAATCTTCGTTCAAGTGCTGAAAAACAACTGAATGAACACTGGATCGCGCAACAACCGGATTTATTACTTCTTTCTTTAATACAGCTTGGAAGATCTCACGAAGAAATACACGTGAGGATCATTTAAAAAGTTTTCATGTATTTATAAAAAAAAAGTGGAAAGATAGAAAGTCTAAGATGGAATTATCACACGCGTTTCATACGGCTTATTATTATCGGGGATATAGGGTCGCTCTTTTGCTTTTGTGCTGCTTCGAAGAATTGCATTCAAGCAAGTTCCAGGTACTCAAAAAACGGACGATGCTACAATATGGGACCGCCTTCAAGAACAGAGTAGACAAGCAATCAAAAATGAACTTTTAATGTCGCTTTCAGTTGAGCGAGAGAATACTGTACGTTATAAAGTTTGTGATGCCGTTTCTGAAGTTGCTAAAAATTCCTTTCTCAAAGGACGTAAGTATTCGATTTTATATTATCATTTTATATCTTTTACTTTATATTTCGTTATTTCAAATTCTCTTACTTTTTCTCATGTAGAAAAGTGGGGTGAACTACTACCTGCTCTATTTGAAGCCAGTAAATCTCCTTCTGCCGAACATCGTGAAGCTGCTTTACGAATATTTTCTGCTGTGCCTAATCTAATCACCGATCAGCCTATTGATATTTTAAAACAAGTTTTTTCTGCTAATTTACGGGATGCTGATAATGCAGCTGTATGTATAATATATTTAATTTTTATTTTTTTTTATTTTATTATTACTATATACATATAATATATATATATATATATATTTATTGGTTATGCTAAAATATTCGGATCGAGCTACTGAAATTATATATATTATACCTTAGATTCGTATGGCTGCACTTAAAGCTGCTGTAGCATTCATGTTGGAAGCAAATCAACCAAGTCGTACTTCTTTTTCGGAATTAATGCCACAGATGCTTGAGGTATGATAAAAATTTTATCACTAATTTCTTAAAAAAGTCTGTAACATACCCCATTTATGGGTTTGAAAAACTTTTAATTAATAACTCTAAATTTAATAATTTTTTAAGATATAAAATTGTTATAATATCATAATGGCTAAATTTTAAAACATTAGTAAATTTGGATGTTATTAATTTATTCATGTATCGGTGGTTATGCGACAGACTCTAAAAGCATGAATACATTATTGGCATTTAACGTGTTTTTGCCATTTCACGCAAAGGTCTTATCTCCACTTGTAGCACATCGTGATGAAGATGGTTTAGTTGATGGTATAATGGTATTCATTGAATTAGGTGAAAATTCACCGCGTGTATTTAGGCCAGTACTCCCTATCGTTATGCCTTTCGCTATAAATATTATGAAAGATAAATCATTTGAAGAGGGTACGCGTCAAACTGCTCTCGAACTTTTGCTTACTTTGTCGGAGGCTTCTCCGTCAATGATGCGCAAAACTCCAGATTTCTGTTCGCAAGTTATCCCCATATCTTTGGAGATGATGACAGAATTGGACGATTATGAAGAATGGTACACAACTGATGATGTAAATTATTATTTTTTTTATTTAATATACATTCATTTATTTTTCAATTATGTTAAAAATGTTAAAATGTTAAATATGTTTTGTGTATATCCATTTTATCCATATTCATAGCTAGATGACGATGATAATGATGAAAACTATGTTATAGGGGAACATGCCATGGATAGATTAGCTCGTAATATTGGTAATTAATCTTATAAATTAGGCTGGGACGCATACATGCTATTCTAGATTAATTTGTAGCATTACCATAGCGACTTTGATTTTTGAGTTTAGGTGGAAAAGCTGTACTCCCCATTGCCTTTAATTATATTCCCTCCATGTTGGGCGCAGAGAAATGGGAACAACGTCATGCTGCACTTATGGCAATATCTGCCATTGGGGAGGGTTGTGTTAAAATTATGGAGCCTGAATTGGGTAAAATTATCGAGTAAGTTGCAATTAACTTTAGATACTTTTTTTTAATAGAAGGACCTTTTTTCGTTAATTCTTTTTATTTTATTTACTTCATACTCCATGTAAGATTGGTTTTACCATATTTACGAGATCCTCACCCTCGAGTAAGATATGCTGCGTGTAATGCAATCGGTCAAATGTCGACTGATTTCCAAGATTCTCTCCAAAAGAAATTTCATCAACCTGTACTTACTAATTTAATTCCTATAATGGACACCCCGGAACCGAGGTAAATAACGTTATTTATATTATCGTTACATAGTTTTGAGATTAATGTTCAAATACAAACTTTTTTCGTCAATTCAACTGTCCATTGTAGGGTTCAAGCCCATGCAGCTGCTGCCCTAGTTAATTTCTGTGAAGCTGCAGATAAGGCAATTCTAGAACCTTATTTGGATCCTATTTTTGAAAGGCTTCTTGTTCTTCTAAATTCTGGAAGAACTTATGTTCAAGAGCAAGCTATAACAACGATAGCTACAGTTGCAGATAGTGCAGAAGATAGATTTGTAAAGGTGTGAATTATATTGAGTCTTTACTATTTGTTCACTTATATATCATTTATTTATGGTATTTTAAATACTTTTATAGTATTATAGTGCTATTATGCCTTTATTAATAACCGTTCTTAGAAATGCTCACCAAAAAGAATATCGATTATTACGAGGCAAAGCCATGGAGTGTGCAAGTCTTATAGGTACTTCTTCAAACTTTTGTTATTAACACATGTTCATCACATGCTCACCATATGATCATTATATAGCCTTGGCTGTAGGGAAAGAAATTTTTGCACCAAATGCCAATGAGTTCATTCAATTATTGGTTCAAACACAACGTGAGTGTTTAGTTTATTTCATTTGGTATTTTTCTACTTTATTCAACCAATAATAAAAGTTTTATTATATTAATAAATGTGTAGAATCAGTCACCGAACCAGATGATCCTCAAACATCATATCTTATTGCTTCATGGGCAAGGATATGCAAAGTTCTTGGCGCAGATTTTGTTCCATACCTACCTATCATTATGCCCCCTCTTCTACAATCTGCACAACTAAAGCCAGATTTTGCTATTTTAGATCGTTAGTTAATTATTTTAATAATTATTGAGTTTATTTATTTGATAAATCTGATAATAATTTTTGATTAAAACCTTTATAGCCGATGATGATATTGATTCTAAATATTCAGCTGAAGATGGTTGGGAATTTGTCGGTGTTGAAGGTCAAGTAAGTATAATGATTCTCATATAGGTTGATATTTATAAAAACCTATTAATCCTAATATTGGAACAATATTTATGTAGCAAATTGGAATAAAAACGACTGTTTTGGAAGAAAAATGTACTGCTGTTGAAATGCTTATATGTTATGCTCGAGAGCTTGGTCCTGCCTTCCAACCGTACGTTGAGGATGTTTTGGAAATCGTGCTACCACTCCTAAAATTTTATTTTCACGATGGTGTCCGTAATGCTGCAGCAGCAACTATTCCGCATCTCCTTAATTCAGTTAAAAAAGCTAATGCTAGTAATGAATATATATTATCAATGTGGCATACAATTGTGAAAAAAGTTATCGAAGTTATCATGAGCGAAGTTGATCCCACATTTTTGTGGCAACTTTATGTTACTTTTTATGAATCATTAGAAATAGTTGGTGATAATAGTCTTGATGAGTCGCATTTAGAAGCTTTTACGAAAGCTACCGAAGTTCAATTACAAGAATTTTATCAAAGAATAAAGCAGCGAGAACAAGCAAGACACAGTGGAGATTATGATGCTGAAGATGAAGATATAATTATGGAAGAAGAGGCAACGGAAGAAGGTGTTCTTGGTGAACTTTCAAAAGCTTTACATGTTATCCTTAAAACCCATCGAACGTCTTATCTTCCATCTTTTGATAAGTTGTTACCAATCGTATCCATGTTCTTGGCTGATGCAAACCCTGCAGCTCGTCAATGGGCTTTATGCGTAATTGATGATGTTATTGAATTTACTGGACCTGCATCATGGGTTTATCATACTCATTTCTTAGAAAAAATGATTGCATCATTAATGGACATAGGTTAGTTGAATAGCTTTTTTTTTTTTTTTGTTTTGTAGTTGTCATTATAGTATCCTCATTTTTATTTTGTTGGTTTATCATAGCCTCCGATGTTAGGCAGGCTGCCGCTTATGGTATTGGTGTATGTGCCCAATTTGGTGGCGAGAATTACTCTGAAGCTGTTACAGGTTTTTATTTCATATTTAAAAACGTAAAAATTTGTTGTTTTTTTCCTATATATTATTAGTCTAACTGTCTTTTTTTTCCTTGCAGAGGCACTAAGTAATTTATTCCAAGTAATAAATTCTGATGGCTCTAGGAGAGAAGAAAATATATATGCAACTGAGAATGCTATATCTGCTATAACTAAGATTCTAAAATTCAATAATAGTAAAGTTGACGTGAATGCTGTGCTTCCAGCTTGGTTTGCATCCCTACCTATTATCTATGATGAAGAAGAAGCAGCACTTACTTACACATATTTGCTAGATTTGCTAGAAGCGTAAGTTATTATTATGTCTTATCAATATGTCTTATTAAACTATAATCTAAGCAACAATTTCTATTATTTTAGTCAACATCCTCTCATTCTTGGTAATAATAATGAAAATATTCCACGTGTTGGCAAAATTTTCACTGAGGTACTTACCGCAGTGATTTTACCAGAACCAGTGGCCATGAGGATGACAAACGCATTAAAAGCTATTAATCCTGGTCATTAATAGAAAATCAACTAAAGCTAATTTTCAATTTAGTCAGATTTTTTTTTTTCAAAATAGGTTGATCGATTCTTATAATAATAATAATTTACTTATAAGCTTTGGATCATTACAAAAGAGTTTTTTTTTTTTTTTTTTTTTTTTTTTTTTTTTTTTTTTTTTTTTTTTTTTTTTTTTTTTTTTTTTTTTTTT